TAACTGCGCTCCCCTTTTCCTATTGCCAACATTTTTTTTCTGGGTTGAGACCGTTCTGTGTGTGGGAGTGTTGATGTTGGCATTGTGGCTGCTGTTTGGCCTCTGAATTAGAGCCCGTACACGTCCTGGCCCTCTCCCTTTCTGGCACTCCATATCAGCCGAGTGTAAATGGCTTATTTCCGTGTTGCCTTTTTGGCCGAATTTCGAAATTTGTATTTGGCCTTTTTGAGCCAACACTTTCATACGCTTGCTTCAGGCAATATACGTAGCAAAAGGGAGCACCCCGATGGAAACACAACTCTTTATGGCTATTGAAATCGAAAATGTTTTCTGACTGATGCGATAAAAATGAGTACGATTGTGTTAGAAGAGTTTGACCGAGAGGCGGAAGTTTATAGCTTTGAAATTACATTTGTTTTACGTTTTGGAAAAAAACTATTACTCATGAGTTTCCTTTTGGATGATTGAATTTCTGAAGTCATCCTGCATAAATTTAAATTTTAAATGCATACAAGATAAACTTCTTATACAATAAACTCCCAGGAATCTTTAAAAACCAAAAATTTTGTTGTGTTTTAGTTTCTTGATTCTGATCTTATAGAAATATAATAGAAAGTTTTTTAGATTTACATAGTCTTATAATTGTCGTCCAGGTCTAAATGTATCGAAAAGAATACGTTTAAACCCTGACAAAATGTTTGCCTTCCACCACGAACTGCTACTGAACGCTTCGATGTTTCTTTTTGTTTCTTATGTTTGGGGGCATTTGCGAAACTTTCGTCGGGCTCATAGAATTGCTCGTTTAACTCATTTAACTTTTGTGCTTGGGTTTCGGGCTGTGTTAGCGTAACAGTGTATATGTGGGGGCAAGTGAGTTTTTTTGCGTAAAGTTTGCATAAATTTTAGCAACAAGAAAAGTTAATAATGCCAGCAGGCAAAGTCGAGCTGGGGCGACAATGAAAATAATTCAATTAAAACACTTTTCCCAGCTTTGGGGTTTCCCCCATTCGCCCCCTAATTCCCCTAGCTGCCGCCCAACGTCGTTGTGTGCATGTCAAGTTACAATTTCGCCGAACCAAATTAACACATACACCGGGCGCAAGGCAGGGGGGTGTGTGGATGGCCGCGAGGCATTCTCCACACAGACTCCTCCTAGCTGGGCGGTCCTTCTGCGACCAGGATCCCGGCTGGTAGTCCGCCCGGCTCGCTGCCCCATCTCACTCGGGTGTTCCTTTGGACAGGGTGCGACATCTATGCCATGTTTACTTTGCTACTTAGGGCCATTGTTGTTGCTTAAAGCCGCAAAGTGGCTTCGCTTGCTGGAAATTTAAATGCTTGGCTTGGCCTGGCTTAGTCCGAGGAACATTCTAGGCAAGCCCCTTGTATACTTTTGGGTGTTTAGTGTATTGTTTCAAGAACTGATTGTTTTGCCTAGAGATTATGGTTCTGTGTCACTTCTGCTTCGGGAGCGCCTGGTTCTGGATGGGATTCCTAAGTCGAATTGTGGACATTCAGGTGCTTGTTTGTAGACTTTTGAAATAGTGCATTTTGGAATAACAAGCTTCATTGGTTCCAACATATGTGCAATAACAGATGCCTAATTAAAAAATGTAATAACCTTTTAAATAAATGAACATTTTTTTAAAACTTGAAATATTTCGTACCCCGAAATTTGTAAATAATCCTGTGCAGATAATATCTGTACATTTGAGCATAAATATTAAAGAATTAAATCTGAATTAAATTCCAAGTGAAGCAACAAAATAATAAACTATGCATAAACAAATAAAAAATGTAAGCTCAATTTATGAAAAAATTAAATTAAGCAGTGCTAAAGGAGAATAAAAGGATCATGATGCGAAACATTCAAGTGAAGACAAATGTTCCTAGGAGCTATTATATCACTTCTTTATTCTGCAAGTTTTAAATGCAGGAAAAATCTTAAATAAGCTGTGTAATGAAATGTGTAATTTGTAACTTGTGTGCACTTTCTTTGACGTTTAATTTTAAAGGTATTAACCTCTGACATAACCTAACCTCTGAAAAACAGGTGTTCCAGTTAGTTTCTTTGAAAAATAGGGTGCAAAATCATACAATACTGCATTTGTTTTATCGTATTAAATTGTTTGTATTAAAATTAAAATATCAGTTGTCCTGGGATAGGGAAATCCTTGCCTTTAAATATTCTCGTTATGAGGGTCGCCTGTTTATTTATTGAATTTCGGATTATTGAACCTGTAAATTAAAGTGTGTAGCCCATGAACTTTAAAAAAGTTCAATAATTCACTCAAATGGTTGAATTGGAGTTAGCTAAGCTATTTAATTTAGAATAACGAAATTTAAACTATCGTCTGATCCCGAATCTCGAATCTGTTATGGGGCTGCAAAAACCGCTGGCAAAATTAAGGGGAATTTAAAAACAATTCTCTTAAAAATCATCACCGTGTCACAGTTGTATGTCTTATAGCTGCACAGGAACGATCGAATAATATTATAAAATAAGTTTTAACTTGGCTGGTTTTCAACATATTTTCATCTATTTTGAGAGATGTCCATTTGGTATCAGTATTTATAATTTCGGTTAAAATTTTTGGAAAATCAGACGACTATGCTATAGAAACGATATTTAGAATATGCAGACAAAAATATAAAGCTGTGATAGTAAAACTGTAACTGTAAAACTAAAAATGTAATAGGTTAGTAATAGGTTAGTTAGTAGTTAGTTAATAACAGTTAGTTCAAAAAGTTGACATTGCTTTCTTTTTTTATCAAAACCAAAATATTATTTGTTATGTTTATATTCTTAATGATCCAATTGCAAGCTGCAAGGGTATGCAAAACTGCGGCGGGCCGGAGTTAGCTTCCTTTTTGATTTTGAAATAAAGTTAATAAAGTTGACAATTCAGAGCTCTTTATTTGCAAAAAGAACACTAAAAACCAAACTCGCGCTCAATTCAGACTATTCGGAAATAATTTCTCAATTTTTATGTCTCTTAACCCTTTAATACCGTACACATGGCTTTCGAGTTTGCGCAATTTTTTCCATTAAAAATGGTTTTCCATAATTTTTTACTGTCAGCATTGAAGTGCAAAATGGGGAGAAAATACGAATTGATAGCGCACGAGTTCAGGCTCGTTAAAAATCAATCCCCCGGTGGGGCGAGCGGTTCGGCGTAGGTGTCGCTGGCCATGTCCCGGCGGCCTGTGCCCTTCGTGGTCAATATGCGCGACTATAAGTCCATATAGGCGGCGGTGCAGCCGTCATTTTGGTATCTACGTACATATATATTCTCCCCTCTCTAAAGGACTGTCAGGCTTCAGGCTGTATGTGTTTGTCCGAATGCTACTGTGGATGTATGGGAATGGTTTTGTCATATCTGTGCATCCCTCCGTTCCGCTACATGTCCTGCTTGTTCTGTTGTTCAACAGGAGGGTATGTCCAATAAATATTATACTCCAGAATCCAAGAAAACCCAAAACAAGAAAAAGAGTTCCTGGACAGGCAAGTGACCAACCAATGTATATTGAACCAAGTGTGCAGGGCATTGGCAAGTCACTCTTGTCCGATAGCTTTGCATTTTTTCCGTAATTCTGCATGGAAATCACCACAAGCTGAGGCGCAATGAAGCGAAACGTCCACGCGACATTTCCAATTTATGCGGCATCTATACACAGGGCCATGTCCAGCGGTGTGACCAAGGCCATGTCTCTAACCCCAAAAAATTGGTCCGATGTAACGCCACAACAAAGAACGTTAATTGACGCCAAAATGCTGCTCCATAAAAAACATAAAAACCGAATCTGCCCGGTGGAGCGCAAACGAGAAATGGTCCGATTGGACACTACGGCTCGGTGTCCTTCCTGAGCTCGGTGAATTTAAACGCTCCCGCGACCCAAGCCGATGCGATCCGAGGTGAGCCAAGCCAGAGCGAGGCTCAAGTGGCTTTATTAACCCCTTGAGAGGTCGTCGGGGATCCCCACGCCCCGGCACTCCATTGCTGCCGGTCTGTTCACCGCGTGGGCGTGTTTGAATCAGCACACGTGATTAATGGCCTTTAATTATGTCAAAGCGCGACGGAAGGCCTCCGACCAGAGCCTGAGTTCAACGGTATGCCAGTTAAACGCTTGACATTAAAAAATTGACACCGTTTGGGGTGAAATGTCGGCGACGTTCCGGCCCCCTCCATCTTCGCCTCGCACCCTCGCCAGACCTATGTTTTTGCCTCTGACAACTGTCTGGCACACGTAACCGGGTTCCCTGCCATTTCGCTTGTCAGCTCCCTGCGCCCCGCAACAAATTTTAAATCCAAACACCCGCCCACACAAGGACACCCAGTCGAGAAACTCCTTCGGACATTCGTTACCCAGCCGTGATTGTGTGGGCGTTTGTCTCGCTTGTCGCTTTTAATGAAAGCGTCATAAATTATGTTGTAGTTGACGAAAGCAACGTCGAAGCTTCCGTCTGCGAACGGGGCTCCCATGGCAGGGGTTCAGACTGCGAGGTCATTTAGCATATGTGTAAACAGAGGCCTTTTCAAAAGGAAAGGATTTCGAAATTATATATAAACTAGAGAAATATTATGGAAGTTGAATACGATATATGTATGTATCAATGTTTACCAAAGTAAAGAGATAAAGTGGCAAAGAGAGATATCTTTAAAATCCACGATATCTTCTAAAAAAATGGATTAGAGCTTCACCTGAGTATGTTTTATTGTGAGATTTCGGGTAAACACAGCATCTGGGTCTAAGTACAGAGATAGAACGAAATGTTCAGAGATTGTATATAAATGTATATTCTGGGTTACTTTATACAGTAATTTAATGTCTACTGAGCAAGGGCATACTTTAAAACAAATTTAACTGACACGTCCTAATTGTAGCCAATTGGTATACTTCTTTTTTTGAGGTTGAAGTTGTGGATTGATATTTATTAGATTTTAGTAATTAATATATAATTGCATTCAATCGAGCGACTATATCACAAGCTACCACGCAACTTTATTCACAACTTCACTATTTTCATACATCTTAGCAGTACTAAAATTATTTAAAAACTTTTGACTGGAATCATTGGAGTAAAATCTAATGAAAAATTGATAACAGCCTCCTTGGATCTGTAATCATAGAAATATCCACCTAGAACAACACATAAATTAGGTAGCTGATATAAACGGCAAAGAACAGTATGCAGAAGTTGGTCCTGCCATCAGCTCTTAGCGCCTGCCACATGTTGTACTTCCTCCAATGCGGGTCCGGAATCGAGGAGTTCAAAGACTCGATAAACTTAATTTTTCGATCCACCGCTACTCCATCTGATGGCCCTTTGCTTATGTGGACGATTCTGCGTGATGTGACCTGGGCAAAGGCAGGAGCTTTCATAGGCGGGAGCTCCGAAGCTGAGGATGCGCCGCCAAGGGCGGACAAAAGCATCAGATCCAGTAGGAAGAGCCACACTAAAGACATTCCCGCATCAGAGTGTTATTCTTGGCCAGCAGTGTGAGATCAACTGGAGAACGTCTTTTGTGGAAGCGGCGGAGCGAGCAATGATCTAACCCAAAGAGAGCGGGTTCTCTGTTTTCTGTTTGCATACCTCACAGATGTTTTGATACTGTGCTCGTTTCTGGATCTAGTTTGAGGGCCCTTTGCTAAACCCATGACTTGACCTCTCGATACGGTTTTTATAAAATGAATTTCTAGAGTGATGTGTCAAGGAACTACACTGACAACAGATGAAGGGGTGTATTTTAAAATAAATTTATTATCTATATATATAAAAATGGAGACAAAAAATGTTACTAATGGCATCACAAGAGAACGGCTGGGCCGATTTGGCTCAAATTTTTTTCAGTTGTTTGTAATTGTCAGAAGAAGGTAAGAAGGTAAGAAGGTAAGAAAATTTTGGGAAGACCTTCCGGAAAAGTCGCTAGCGGCTCAACAGATGGACACACTGTTGTATGTAAAATTCTGAAACACCCTACAAAGATCATAGCTGCGTTGAAATTGTGTATCAATGAACTCGGTAAAAAAATATTTAAACAAAAAAATCGAGCTAACGAAGCAATTGGAAGTAATGCCTGCTGTTAGACGATCAAGACTTGGACGGCGTTCACGCAATGCAATAAGTATTCAGAATTCCCGTAATAGTCGGACGCAAGAGGAACGTACAGAAATAAATGCATCGATACGTGCCCAAATGGCACAGCTTCTCGCTCCACAAAGATCACCTCAAGCCCGACATAATAATAGAGAAAGACGAGCCGCAAATGAAAACTTGAATCGCGCTGCATTCGCATACAATCCTGAAACATCCTACAAGGATCTTACCTGCGTTGTTATTGGTTCATTGTCTAGGATTGCAATGCACTGAAGTTTCGGTTGGAAACCCCCGGCTTATGCTGTGCAGGTGGCAAAATTAAATTGCCCGTTTTGGCTCATCCACCAGGGCCATTGTATTCGCTACTATATAGAAATTCAGCCCAATCAAACAGTTTCCTAAATCTTGCACAAAAATATAACGGATGCTTTCCAATTACGTCATTTGGAGTCGAGGTTTTTCATCAATCAGGCTACAATCCAAGTTATAAGGTAATGGCGTCTCTTAATTATCAAAAATAACAACTCACATTTTTTAAAATTGCATTCCAACATTCAGATTCATGGGCAAATTCAACACCGAGCGGGCGCTTTGTTATCACCACAAAACAAAGATCTTAAATTCCTTCAGATCTATTTCATTGGTGATTCGGCAGTTGAACTAAATCACCGCTGTGCAATTTTTACTGAAACTTAACGTGAAATTGTCGAACAATTGCAAAATCTTCTCTATGTGCATAATGAATTGGTCAGATTGTTCAAAACTTCATTGGATATAATGCATTATGACGAACATAAAATCATTATCAGCGCTGACAAAAGACCCACTGGTAGCCATGCAAGACAATTTAATGCTCCCACCATCAATAAAGTCGCAGTGGTGATTTTTGGCGAGAATGTGGAATGACGCGATATTGTTTTGAAGCGTCGGGATAATGGCCAATTGCAGCGAGTTTATGAGACTCATCGGTCATATAATGCTCTTCAATACCCGTTGATGTTCTGTCGTGGAAAAGATGGGTATCACTTCAACATAAAGATGGTCAATCCAACATCAGGTTTGTTTACAAGTCATCAATTCTCTTTGATTCTACAACTAAGTGTGAATTCAAATTCTAGGAGAAGAAACAAATAAGGTCAACTCTATGAATTTTTATGCGTATCGATTGATGATTTGACTAGATGTTGACAATCATCTCTTAAGATACCGCCGTTTGTTTCAACAGTACTGCGTGGACATGTACGTCAAAGTAAAAACGGAGCGTCTCAATTTCATTCGTTTTAATCAGTCGAAGTTGCGGTCAGATGAGTACATTCACTTGCGTGACGCCATCGCTACTGAAGGACACGCGGCCAACATAGGTTGTTTGACCAATCTCCCAGCTACTTATGTTGGAAGTCCGTGCTATATGCAAGGGCAAATTTAAAGGAGAGGAAGTTCTTATCCCACGAATTCCGATTATTCCAACAGATCTTCCATTCCAATTCAAGAGGATTAAGTTCCCAGTTCGATTGGCGATTGCGATGACAATCAATAAACCGCAAGGCCAATCGTTGGAAGTCTGCGGGATAAATCTGGAATATCCATGTTTTTCACATGGCCAGCTATACGTAGCCTGTTCGCGTGTGGGAAAGCCGTCATCATTATTTATTTTTGCACCGGATAACAAAACAAAAAATATGGTTTATCAGATCGCTCTCCACTGATTTCAAGTCAAAAAAATTTGTCAATCCAACGACAGGTTTGTTTAAAAGTCATCACTTCTTTTTGATTTTCAACTAATTTTGAATACAATTTTTAGGGGAAGATAGGAATTAGGTCAGCTCTATGAATTTTTATGCGTATCGATTGATGATGTTTCAACAGTACTGTTTCGACATGTACGTCAAAGTAGAAACGGAACGTCTCAATTTAATTTGTTTTAATCAGTCGAAGTTGGGGCGAGATAAAGTTCGCCGGGTCCGCTAGTATTATATGTTTTATTTGAAATTTAAATACCTTGCAGTTTAACAATAAATATGATTCAAATGGATAATCAAGAAGCTGTCCAATCGATTTAAAGATTTAATCAACATTAATTAAGATAAATCAAATACCTGCTAAAATAATTTTGTTTTCTTAAATTAATTGAACTGTAAACAAATGACTTCGGTATTCTTTTCTACCACACTACTACTACTATGTACTAGGCTGAGGCCTAGCAGAGAACTTTTGGAAGCTCTATGGACTAGAAGTCCGGTGGGGAAAAAAAGAGAGAGCGTACGTGATCACACTACCTCCTGAAATTAAGCGCCTTTTTGGCGTGAACGCTAGTCTTAATTCAGTTTAGGTCTTTTAGCTAAAATTAATTGTTTAAGCTAGCAGATGTACATATGACATATAATAAAGTAGCATAATATGATAAATAGAATAGGATGACGTCTTATTACGAAAGCTGACGTGGTGGAACATTGACGTATATTTTTAATAGCTCCTCTTGTAAGAGCCATTTTTTATTGTTTCTGTGTTCTGGCTTTTAAAAATAGTTCACTCTATGAAAAAAAATGTATTTTCTTTTATATGAACAATTTCAAAGTTACCTACCTAGAATTACCTAATACTTCAATGCTACATAATCAACAACGCATTGCTGGTTTTGATTGATGATTAGCATTGCAATGCTGAAATTGCTTGAAGAAATTCGAGGTGGTTAAATATCTATCTACGCAACAGATATTAGGTACTTAATTCCATCTACATTTCTAAAATGCATTAGGGCTTGTCGTTAATTTAAAAATGTTTAAAGTTGCAGTTATTACCTTTTTTGCTGAACAATATTTTATCCACCGTAAACTTGAAGCAGTGTGAGGAGGAGCCTTAAAGCATGCAAACTCTAGAGAACTGAACAAAGACTATTTGATCACAAGATGGAGAATGATCATATGAATTGCCAAGTGCAAGCAATTAATTGTTGTATTGTATTCTCATTGCCTATCTGCTTTAGTGCGGTATAAACTTATCATTAGTATTATGGTAAACGCTCAGAGTCGCATAATGCATTTTTAGCTACATAAAGAATAACCTTTACTATTTTTATCAACAGCCCCTACCATTTGGCAAATCAAATAATTATAAAAAGTTCAGGGTAGAGTCATGTTTGTTGGCTTTGGCGGTGTCTGGCGCCGAGGCAGAACTTGAGGCAAACTTTTGCCTAAAAGGTAAGGCAAAGAAAAGTTTTTCCAACTAGTCAAAATTTCATTTAGGCGCATTTAGGCGGCAGTTAGTGGAAAGGACGAGATCGCAGTATGCCCAACGAGCGTTTAAATCAAATCCAGGCATGGTTTCTTAAAGCCTTTCACTGCAATTCATGCACAGAAATCATATTTGGGCACAAATTTTATGCTGCCTCAGCGCCGGCTTGAAAACTTTTATGCCAGCGCTGCAGACCAAAACTTTCGCCTCGGTCGCAGTGGAATCGGGCTTCCAGTCTGTCCCCCGTCACTGTCTCCACTTGCCCGACCGCCTTTGTGCCAATTCGAGTTGCACAACTCCAGCGAAGCGTGTGAAATGCGGCACAGCATAGTTAGGCCTTGAAGCTAGCGCCTCTTTGATGGATTCATGCCCCAAACGGGGCCAGAGCGAGGATGCCAGGGAACCCTTTGCCCAACATTTTAATTTCGCCACGCCCTGACGTAGACTTGTTAAAAATGCCAGCACTTTGTTTCGGTACTGTACTTATTTTTTTGTATTTATTTATGTTTTGCTGCTTTAGCTGGATAACAACCGCTCAGCTGGACTTATCCCTGGAGCTGACTGATCAGTCGGCGCTGCCTCTGGAGCAACTGCTGCATCCTGCGCCTCCTACGCTCCTGGCGTTGCCGCCGCTCCTGCCGGCGACGACGCTCGCGACGCAGGCGGCGGCGACGGGCACGGCGCCTGGCCGCCGCAGATGAGGACGAAGAGGAGCTAGTGGTGGTGGTGTCCGAGGAGGAGGAGGAGGAGGCGGTTGTGCTAGTGGTGTCGGAAATGGAGGCGGCGGTGGTGGTCGTCGTGCCAGATGAGGCAGCAGTCGTCGTCGTGGCTGCCTCTGTAGTCGTGGTGCTGCTAGCACCGTTGCCCTCCTGGGCCAGGAGGAGGCACCCGAGCACGCCAAAGACTAAAGCGAATACGAAACGCATTGTGATGTGTCTGATCTGGGTAATTGTACCGGCTTATATACGCAATCTGGCTCAAGAATAACTAAGCCTTGTAATAGGCAAATAGTTTGGCTGGTTCCATAATCGGATATGTTTGTACAGCTTCTCGATATTGACTGAAATCGACTTCAGGCTTGATAAGGTCATTAAGACTAAATGCTGTTGGTACCTAGTTTCTGTTTTTAACCTATTCAAGGTCGTAACCTTTGAAAATGAGCTCTGAAATTAATAAAAAATGCAATTCTTGATTCCCATTTCTAGACTTATTTGAAAACATTCGTTCAGATAGCTCCAAAACTGCGAGACTATTTGCGTAGAAAATGTCAGGCGGACGGACAGACGGACTGAAATTAGAATACCCTGCAAGGGTATAACAAGAAGGCTTAATATTATTTTCTATTAATTTTCCAATACTTCTATGACAGGCTTAATGTATGGTGATCCGGTCAGACCCGATTTGACACCAACCGCGACACAAAATGCAAAGTTCTCTAAAAAAAATTTGCATTATGAAAGGCTCCAATTAATCAAATTTGAAAGAATTAAGCATTTTCTACAACAAATTTGTCGTTTAAATTAGAAAAATTGAAAGTATAAATCGGATTATAACATGGGATTTATTAAGTAATTAATTTTATACATAATACTGAACTTTAGCTACTTCCACATGTGGGTTGGCAGCACCAACTGGTGTATCTAGCAACATTGTCTTTATTTGGCTTTTGCGCAATATGTTCTAAGTGAGATTGTTGGATTTCGGCCGAATACGCTTAGGTGTAAAGGTTGTTATATAATTGGTAATTTTTTTCGGATTTCATAAGTACTATATTTTTTGTGCAGGAAAGCGCAGTACTCAAGCTCGCGCTTGGTTGCCTACTCTGACAGCGAAAATTCGTACGTTATTGTTTAGTAACTCGCATTATTTTTGTAGAAGTGAGCGCAGCATAAAAAAAACTGGGTCTGTGTAAATTACGACCTTTTAACTCAGATACCATCTTCTAAGCAATTAAGAGAGAGCAAAACATAATTCTCAATATTTATTTTTTAGTTCAAAAGTTTTACTTTACTAAGGTTAAGCAGCGCCTCGCTCTCAGCCACGCAGCTGGTTAATACGACGTCGCTGGCTCTGGAGCTCCTGGCGGAGCCTCTGTATCTGACGCTGCCTCCTGCGCTCACGGCGCTGGCGTTGGCGGGCAAGACGACGGCGGCGGGCACGCCTGCGCCTCCTGGCAGCGGCAGAGGAGGACGAGGACGAGGACGAGGAAGAACTGGTGGTGGTGGTGTCGGAGGAGGAGGAGGAGGCAGCGGTGGTGGTGTCGGAAGTGGAGGCGGCGGTGGTGGTCGTCGCGCCAGAGGAGGCAGCAGTCGTCGTGGTGGCCGCCTCAGTAGTCGTGGTGCTGCCAGCACTTCTGCCCTCCTGGGCCAGGAGAAGGCAGCCAAAGATGGCGAAGATCAGTACGAACGAGAAGCGCATGATTGTATGTTTAATCTGGCTGTACGCCAGGGCTTTTATACTACAATATCCACAGAATTGTGGTTAATGTAACTACGCCATCTTACACTTGACATTCGACTGTGTTTGAACAGCTTTTTGATAAAATTTGTTTTCTGAACTTGAGCAAATGTTTTCAAAAGTTTCTTTCATAGCCGAAATACTTGTTAGTTGTGCGCACTTGTACATATGTATTTTAGATGTTTTTTACATAATATTAAGGGGTTTTCGGATATTGTATGATTTATATTTTAATGTTCTTAAGATCCTTATTTTTTAAACACTGGTTTATAATGCCTTTGAGTTTAGAATAAAACAAGAAAGGAAGCTAACTTCGGCACGCCGAAGTTTGTATACCCTTGCAGATTGCAAATGGATCATTAAGAATCGAGCCATTCTGGTTAAATTAATAGAAATACATAAAAGCAAATATACATATAAAAGTTGTATATTTATACATGGCATATAATAATTTGGTTTTGATATTTATATTATAAATTTATGTGCTGAAAACACACACAAAATAGAGTTTCATTACATTTTACCTATACTTATTATGTTTACAGTTACAGTTTTAAATTCCCAGCTCTACATTCACCAATCGTTTGTATGGCAGCTATATGATATAGTTGTCCGATTTTCATAAAATTTATACCAAAACTCTGAAATAATAACAAAAGCTCTTATCTTAGAGTAGATGGAAATACGTTGAGAAACAAAGATGTTATAATTTGTTTCTATTAATTTCCCGTTCGTTCATTTCATTTCAATAATGATGCAAAAATGTTGATTGTTTTATACCCTTGCAGGGTATTATAATTTCAGTCAGAAGTTTACAACGCAGTGAAGGAGACGTTTCCGACCCTACAAAGTAAAGATAGTCTTGACAGCATCCACAACCAAGTCGATCTAGCCATGTTCGATTTTATGAAAACTTTTCTTTCAGTTTTTAAATCATCTTTTTTGTAATCTATTAAAATATAAAAATGTAAAATGGTTTAATGAAAATTTAAATTATTTCGTTCATTTTTTGATACAAATATATATAAAATTGTATTTATGTACATACATATATGCGATATTGTTAATTTTTATGATTTCAGATTCTGTCAAAATCTGATTACTATATCTTATAGCTGCCAAATTATATAAGATCCTAGGAAAATCAACAAAAGCTCGGTGATTGAACATATGGGCATTTCCAAAATGTCGCACGCGACATTCGTATCAAAACAAAAAAAAGTATGTTACATTTCATTTTTTTTTTATAAATGTTAACTTATAGCTCTTGCCTAGGACTATAATTGGTGCAAATGATGATTTCGAGTGTTTGCTCAATTTTAAGAAAATTAAAAAAAAAAACTGAAGGATTCGCACGCGACAAAAAGTGACTTCACTTTCGCGGCGAGCTGTTTAAACACTGATTTCAGCGAAACGGCAGGGATTATTTTAATGAAACAAATTTTAAAATGTGATGCAATAATGCCAGTTTCATATGCTTTAATTTACAATCAGAAATATAGAGTAGTTTATTATACCCTTGCAGGGTATTATAATTTCAGTCAGAAGTTTGCAACGCAGTGAAGGAGACGTTTCCGACCCTATAAAGAATATATATTCTTGATCAGCATCAACAGCCGAGTCGATCTAGCCATGTCCGTCTGTCCGTCTGTCCGTTTCTACGCAAACTAGTCTCTCAGTTTTAAAGCTATCTGAATGAAACTTTGCATATACTCTTCTATAAACTCTCACTGCTATATATGTCGGAACGGGCCGGATCGGACGACTATATCATATAGCTCCCATACAAATGTTCGATAAATTTTTTGAAAAAAAATTATAACTTGGCTGTTTTTCAATATTTTTGCATCATTTTTGAGACATAGCTATTTTATATTATTCCAGAATTTTGGTAAAAATTTTATGAAAATCGGACGACTATATCTTATAGCTGCCATAGGAACGATCGACAAATGAATAGGAAAAAAATTATAACTTCGTTGTTTTTCAACATATTCTTATCTATCTTATCTTCTTTTATTATTTCAGAATTTCGGTAAAAATTTTATGAAAATCGGACAACTATATCATATAGCTGCCATTTAAACGGTCGGTAAATGTAGAGAAAATGTAAAGCTGGGAATGTAAAACTGTAACTGTCAAACTGTAAACATATAAATAAGTATAGGTAAAATGTAATGAAACTCTGTTTTGTGTGTGTTTTCAGCATTATAATTTATAATATAAATATCAAAACCAATCTGCAAGGGTATACAAACTTCGGTGTGCCGAAGTTAGCTTCCTTTCTTGTTTATCATCATACTTTGCATGTAATTTTTAGTATTATAAGTAAATTGGACGAGCATATATTCATTTTATTTCGACTTTTTTGCATTCTTCTTGTGATGTTAGTAAACAACAGTCAAAGCATAATGCCTCGGTTTGGATGTAATTATCAAAAGAAAACAGGCCCATTTTCATGATGTTTTTCATCAAAATAATGAAAAATCGTGTTTGCGCGAATATGCATGGAAGTTTTAGTTTTTTGGCCGCGGTGGACCTTTCTGTGGAAATGCCCATATGTATGTATTTTTAACTCTCCTGTTATGTTTTATTTTTTTGAATTTTACTTAAGTGGCCCGATATTCAATGATCTAATTGCAAACTGCAAGGCCGAGTCGATCTAGCCATGTCCGTCTCTCCGTTTCTATGCAAACTATTCCCGTTGATTTAAAGCTATCTTAATGAAACTTTGCATATGTATATTCTTCGGAATACTTTTTTATATGTCAGTCGACTATATCATATACATAGTTGCCATACAAATGATCGACAATTGTTAGAAAAATAAATAAAACTTGGCCGTTTTTTAACATATTTTCATCATATTTGAGATATAGCAATTTCTTATTATTTTAAAGTTTGGGTTTTAATTTGATAAAAATTGGACGACTATATCTTAAAGCTACCCTCGAAGGGATCGATAGATGTACAGAAAAATGTAAAGATGTACAGAAAACTTTAACTGTCACAAACTGTAAATATAATAAGTATAGGTAAAACGTAACGAAACTTTGTTTTGTGTGTTTTTCAGCATTTAAATTTATAATATTTATTGTTTTAGATACTAAAATATTGTTTTTTTTAATACGATAAACTTTTTCTTTGTTTTTAATATTATCAAAACCAAATTATTATATGCTATGTATAAATATACATCTTTTCTTTTTTTTCTATTAATTTTTAATTTTTTTCTATTAATTTGACCAGAATGGATCGATTCATAATTCAATTGCAAACTGCAAGGGTATACAAACTTAGGCGTGTCGAAATTAGCATCCTTCCTTGTTTAGTATAAAGTTTTTAATCCGATTTTCCATATTGATTCTTCTCCAAATGAGTTCACATATTAGTTGCAAAATATGCAATTTTCATAGTTCTTTTAAATGTTCTTTATTTTATGTAATTCTAAGATCTACTATTCCGTTCCTTAGAGAAGAGCAGACTGCAGCTCCCGCGAGGAGCCCAACACACAGCCAGACGCTCATCCCTGTCTGTTCTGACGCTGCCTCTGCCTTCTTCTCTGCGCCTGGCGGCGTCGTCTTTGGCGCGCTTGACGCCTGCGTCGCTGGCGGGCTAGGCGTCGTCGTCGGGCAGCTGCCCTGCGCCGCCTGGCAGCCGCGCTTGAAGAGGAAGAGGACGACGCTGTGGTAGTGGTGGTGGCGGACGACGCCACCGTTGTAGCGTCATCGTCAGAGGAGGAGGCGGCGGAGGATGCGGTTGTGTCCGAGGAGGAGGATGAAGAGGCGGCAGTGGTAGAGGTAGCGTCGGAATCGGACGAGGTTGTGCTTTCCGTGGAACTCGAAGTCTGACTATATCCCTGCTGGGCGAGCAGTAAGCAGCCCAAAAGGCCCAAAATCAAGACACACGACAAGCGCATTGTAAGTCTTTTCTGACGACAAACCGTGTGCGAATCATTTTAAATAAAATTTTTACCGGAAACTAAGACCAGCCAGTGTGACGCAGGTTAACAAATACATGTGCACATGTAATCAAAATTCTGCTTAGTACATTTCGTACAAGCTATACAAACAATACCAAGTAATAGTAAATAAAAAAAGACTATTTATTGACTTAATAACAATTAAAACAAGCCGAATTTTATAAGTTGGGTATAAAAGCCCAGACACATAATTGAATCCGTCAGAGATATTCAGCATGCGCTTCTCGTTCGTACTGATCTTCGCCATCTTTGGCTGCCTTCTCCTGGCCCAGGAGGGCAGAAGTGCTGGCAGCACCACGACTACTGAGGCGGCCACCACGACGACTGCTGCCTCCTCTGGCACGACGACCACCACCGCCGCCTCCACTTCCGACACCACCACCGCTGCCTCCTCCTCCTCCTCCGACACCACCACCACCAGTTCTTCCTCGTCCTCGTCCTCGTCCTCCTCTGCCGCTGCCAGGAGGCGCAGGCGTGCCCGCCGCCGTCGTCTTGCCCGCCAACGCCAGCGCCGTGAGCGCAGGAGGCAGCGTCAGACACAGAGGCTCCGCCAGGAGCTCCAGAGCCAGCGACGTCGTATTAACCAGCTGCGTGGCTGAGAGCGAGGCGCTGCTTAACCTTAGTAAAGTAAAACTTTTGAACTAAAAAATAAATATTGAGAATTATGTTTTGCTCTCTCTTAATTGCTTAGAAGATGGTATCTGAGTTAAAAGATCGTAATTTACACAGATCCAGTTTTTTTTATGCTGCGCTCACTTCTACAAAAATAATGCGAGTTACTAAACAATAACGTACGAATTTTCGCTGTCAGAGTAGGCAACCAAGCGCGAGCTTGAGTACTGCGCTTTCCTGCACAAAAAATATAGTACTTATGAAATCCGAAAAAAATTACCAATTATATAACAACCTTTACACCTAAGCGTATTCGGCCGAAATCCAACAATCTCACTTAGAACATATTGCGCAAAAGCCAAATAAAGACAATGTTGCTAGATACACCAGTTGGTGCTGCCAACCCACATGTGGAAGTAGCTAAAGTTCAGTATTATGTATAAAATTAATTACTTAATAAATCCCATGTTAATAATCCGATTTATACTTTCAATTTTTCTAATTTAAACGACAAATTTGTTGTAGAAAATGCTTAATTCTTTCAAATTTGATTAATTGGAGCCTTTCATAATGCAAATTTTTTTTAGAGAACTTTGCATTTTGTGTCGCGGTTGGTGTCAAATCGGGTCTGACCGGATCACCATACATTAAGCCTGTCATAGAAGTATTGGAAAATTAATAGAAAATAATATTAAGCCTTCTTGTTATACCCTTGCAGGGTATTCTAATTTCAGTCCGTCTGTCCGTCCGCCTGACATTTTCTACGCAAATAGTCTCGCAGTTTTGGAGCTATCTGAACGAATGTTTTCAAATAAGTCTAGAAATGGGAATCAAGAATTGCATTTTTTATTAATTTCAGAGCTCATTTTCAAAGGTTACGACCTTGAATAGGTTAAAAACAGAAACTAGGTACCAACAGCATTTAGTCTTAATGACCTTATCAAGCCTGAAGTCGATTTCAGTCAATATCGAGAAGCTGTACAAACATATCCGATTATGGAACCAGCCAAACTATTTGCCTATTACAAGGCTTAGTTATTCTTGAGCCAGATTGCGTATATAAGCCGGTACAATTACCCAGATCAGACACATCACAATGCGTTTCGTATTCGCTTTAGTCTTTGGCGTGCTCGGGTGCCTCCTCCTGGCCCAGGAGGGCAACGGTGCTAGCAGCACCACGACTACAGAGGCAGCCACGACGACGACTGCTGCCTCATCTGGCACGACGACCACCACCGCCGCCTCCACTTCCGACACCACTAGCACAACCGCCTCCTCCTCCTCCTCCTCGGACACCACCACCACTAGCTCCTCTTCGTCCTCATCTGCGGCGGCCAGGCGCCGTGCCCGTCGCCGCCGCCTGCGTCGCGAGCGTCGTCGCCGGCAGGAGCGGCGGCAACGCCAGGAGCGTAGGAGGCGCAGGATGCAGCAGTTGCTCCAAAGGCAGCGCCAACTGATCCGGCAGCTCCAGGGATAAGTGCGAAAAGGAAATTGTTATATTATGTATAATAGAATATTAGTAGCTAAATTTTAAAAATAAAGGTGCTACTCTGACTAATATGAATGAATGACTGCAATGATTCAAGCGTAGAGCCGCACAAACTCTTTGGGCTCAGCTACAGCGCATTCGAACATCGCCATTCCATGGCGGTTAGATATCCATATTCAATCAGCGAGGCGAAAGACGAAGGCGGGGTTTCTGATGCGGCAGACAATTGGCCCTCCCCAAGGAGTTTATTATGCCAGAGATTGAACGCTTAAAAATGCTTTTCTTGTAGCCGAGCTCAGTAGTGAGCAGCCTGGGGAATCAAATCAAATAAAATATTCATTTTGATCCTTGAACTGTGCATAAATATGTAGCCTGCTGCCTGACGGACAGAGCATCGTCAACCACCCAGATTTCACATACTTATCCGTGGGATGCGAACAAAATTGAGAAGTAAACGAGCACATATAAAAGATGCGGTTTGACGACGGCACTTCATCATCTTTTTCGTACCCGCAGACAGACAGCAATCGCAGAGGAGGGGCAGGAAAGCGATTTCCGTGGGCTGGCTTATTGTGATTCGAATCCAAGATTAAGTGGAGCAGACAATTCAGGGAATGGGATTCAGTATTAGGGTTAAGTTGCGCTCAGCTAACAATTTTATATTCCAATTGTATGGTCCTGTTGTGAGTTAATTGCTTAGCTCCTCCGCTTTAGAGACTTTCGAACTGGTTCGTCCTCCTTCGCAATATCTAGTCCTTGCATTCCCTTGGATCTGCGTTATCAGATTTGCTCGCTACCAAATTGCATTTCAGAAAACTTATTTTGCAGAGAGGACAGCCGTGGAGAAACTTGAAAAAAATAAAGGCCGGCGGCAAAAAGGTGAAAGACAGCAGGGGAGGAGGTCATCCCTTATTGTTGTCATATTTCCTGGACCTTGGCAATCTGCCATTGTAGGCAATTGTAAATACGAGACAGAAAATAATGTATACAATTTCCCACATTTTTTTCTTAGGAATGCGTTTTGAAAAGTTTGGGGAACTTTTAGCCTGATTGCTTAGTAAACTGATAAAGTCAATTATGTGCTACGTATAAACAGAAAAGTAACCATTGATCAATTTATTTAAAGAAGAACAGCAATAGTTATCTATTTGATAAGTAGCACATAATTTATAAATGAAAAAAACACGCCGTAAAAAAAGACCAAATATATTTTCTGGAGATGTTCCCATATTTCCTTGACAGACTCCTTCCTCAAAGGAGATATAAATAGCAAATTTAGAGGATGAGGTTTGGCATGAATATGGCTAATTTACAGTCTTTAAATATGCTAAAATGTATAAACAACTTAAAGGTTTAATTCTTTAAATAAATTATAATTAGAGTATGAGTGTTCGCTTTATAGCAAATGCAAATGGAAAACAAATAAAAGTAATGTCTTCCATTTGCAAGTACTTCTGTAATTTCTTTAAAGAAATAAACCTTTCTTTTACTTTTGTCCGCTAGTTTTGTATACGCTTGCATGTATTAATTGGATCATAAGTACATATGTATGTATATATTTTTGTTTTTACAAGTTTACAGTTACAGTTTTACATTGACAGCTTTCAATTTTGTTCTACATTTAGCATATGATCTAGTCGTCCGAAATACGGAAATAATATGAATTGACCATATCTCAAAGTACAGCAGCGAAGTTAAAATTTTCCAATCGTTTCTATGTCAGCTATATGATATAGTCGGCCGATCCGGTATATAGTAGTAAGAATAGTCAGAAGACTGTCTGCAAAGGTTCATTCAAATCCGAGGGTCTAGTTTGGGTAGAAACGGACATGGCTAGATCGACTCGGCTGTTCAAGAATATATGTACTTTATAGGGTCGAAACCGCCTGCTTATATGCGTTGCAAACTTTAGACAAAAGTTATAATTTCCTGCAAGGGCATACAAATAACGAGCTTAATTATATACATAGTTTACAGTATATTTTTAGATTAAAAAAAAAGTCAAAACATTTATTTTGACCTATTAACTGATGACATGCCCATGAAAATTTCACCAGTAATTTGTATGAACTGCCATCGATGTTTCATTAACAACATCGATCCGTATGTTGATAAATTAATGATGAATTATAGTATATATTTTTGAGGGAAGGAGAGTACGAGTGTTATAAGGTGCTTTTATTATACCCTTGCAGGGTATTATAATTTCAGTCAGAAGTTTGCAACGCAGTGAAGGAGACGTTTCCGACCCTATAAAGTATATATATTCTTGATCAGCATCAACAGCCGAGTCGATCTAGCCATGTCCGTCTGTCCGTCCGTCTGTCCGTCTATCCGTCTGTCCGTTTCTACGCAAACTAGTCCCTCAGTTTTAAAGCTATCTCAATGAAACTTTGCATATAGTCTTCTATATGCTCTCACTGCTATATATGTCGGAACGGGCCGGATCGGACGACTATATCATATAGCTGCCATACAAATGTTCGTTATATTTTTAGAAAAAAAATTATAACTTTGCTGTTTTTCAACATTTTTGCACCATTTTTTATATATGACCATTTTATATTATTTCTGAATTTTGGTATAAATTTTATGAAAATCGGACGACTATATCATATAGCTACCATAGGAACGATCGGGAAATTAATAGAAAAAAAATTATAGATTCGTTGTTTTTCAACGTATTTTCATCTACTCCGGGATATAAGCTTATTTTATTATTCTAGAATTTTGGTATAAATTTGAAAAACATCGGACAACTATATCATATAGCTGCCATAGGAGCGATCGGTAGATGTAGGGAAAATGTAAAGCTGGAAATGCAAAACTGTAACTGTCAAACTGTAAACATAATAAGTATAGGTAAAATGTAATGAAATAATATCTGCAAGGGTATACAAACTTCGGCGTGCCGAAGTTAGCTTCCTTTCTTGTTTTTTTTATCAACTAAAGAAACTTAAGAAACTATTTTGGTCTTGTGTGAGCGAGGAAGGAAGGGAGTTCCACCAATTACAGGAACGGACTTCCACCGCAACACGACATGACATCGGCCCTGTTAGAGATTTAAATTAGCTTGAAATCGTAAGAGTTAGCCATGGCAACAAGAGATTTATTGCTCCGACAGGGAAGGCAAAATGGCCTTGTGCTTTTCAAGACATAATCAAGTAATTCAATAAACCTACAGCAGAACAACAGTGCCAGGGAATGGATACGAAAATAAAAATGGCAGTTGGATTCCTAATAACATGGGACTCTGTGATTTATTTCAAGCAACGTTCAACAAAACAATTTTCCTGCTGCTCTGTCCTGTTTTGTAGTAACATACATACAGTAGAAATAGCAACAACTTAATGCGTGCCAACAAGCCGCCGTCCAGAAACCAAAAGAACAGAACTAAAGGAACAGAAAGTAAAGCCATAAAAAAACATACACCCAGCTGGGAAGAGAAATGTTTAGTTTAGCTTAGTTTCGTTTTTTGTTTGTTAAACTATAGACTCGGGGCTCTGGAATGGCTTAGCATGTTCTTGGCTATTCAAACAATTTGCATATCCTTTTAGTGCAAGAAGTGTACTTAAAAAATCAACAACCTCCATCGCAGCAGGCCAAAGTGTCCTGGAAAGGCATACCAACGCGACAGCCAACTGGTAGGTACAATGGCAGCTCAAGAATGTTGTAGTGATCAGGTCTTGCTTGACGTGTCAAGCTGTCACTTCAAAACACCTATAAAACTTAAAGTAATTTTAATCATATTGAGAAGAATAGATTGAAAATATTAAATCAATTGTAATAGAATTTTAATAATTTATTTAAATTTGAATAAATTATGTAATTTCTAAACAAAAATGTATGAAGCTTTTTTGAAGTATTAAAGTCCCTACTTATGACGTTGACTTTATCAACTTGAGTTTCTATTTAATGCTTTATTTTTGGTCAAAGATGCTCACTAATAAATTACATTTTTGATATAACATTTTTACATTTTCGAATGACTTTCCAGGATGACAATTTGCTTATAAACACAACCAAAGGAAAACCAGAAAAAGTGAAGAGGAGCATCAGAAAAGTGGGTTGAACGACTTGCAGGACCTATGAAAAATGTGATCAAGAACAATTCAATTTTTGTCTTGTATGAAGTATTTTTAGTTGTAACTCAATGTTTTATTAAAGTTTTCAATGCTATGTTTTTGATTTAAATTAGTCCGAAAGGGTATAAATATCTGTCCAAAGTTATAATACTTTCCAAAATGTATAATATTATTGTGTTGCTGTTTTCACAATAAAGTTCTGTTATCTTCATTTCACTCACGCTGGGACTCAGATGTGTCAGATTGTTAACCGAGTCTTAAACTGTGGTTTTGCACTGGGCTATCCGTAATAAATCAGTTTATCGTTGACGTTTTCCTTTAAAAGCCTTGATGAATATTTTTAAATCGAGTTTAAGGGTCTTAGATATACATTTTTTTTAAATTTTAAAGTAGTGTGTCCTAAATGTCATATTTCCATTTATTTAACACGTTCACGGCAATCTAGAAATTGACCGGGGAGACCAGAGACAAATAAAAAACACAAGCAGACGGGACCTATTCAATTGAAAAGTGAATGTGACTAAACCCTTAGTCTCGTTCGTGGTCCTTGGGAAACCTCCTGCTCCCTGACCAGTTGCTAGCCTGGATATTTATGCGCAGACGTTGCTCAATAAGCTGCTCAAGGATTTATTAGCCAAATGGACAGATTTGACTGGCTGGCTCGGGCTTGGCTAGTGGCCCGTAGCATATGTGAGGTTTCCGCTTGGCACTGTGGAAAATAATATGCGAAAATAGCTTCTCTGCGAATCAAGTTGAACGTAAATATTTTCTGGCAGTGGAGCCCCCACCGCCATGTTCGAGAATTGCTCGTGCTTGGGCTGTGTCGCAGCCAACTTATTGATAAATGTTTTCAAAACGTTTGCATTGAATAGTAATTTTTAAAGATTTACTGTGCCAACCCTTTCGGGATCCTTGTGCAAGCAGGAAGAGCGGAAAGGGGTCGAGGCAGGGCGACGTGGACAATGGATTTCCCTATTTCTCCCTGAGCAGCGCAGGGCTTTGTCGCTTTGTGTGCCTGTCTAATGGACCTTAAATGGCCGTTGGCTTGACCCTTGAACTTTTTCTCGGCTGGGAAAAAGTTTTACAAGTTTAACAAAGTGAAAACAAATGCATTGTGCGGACGGGATTTACCTTTTACACCTCTTTTTCGTGGCCTCGGCTCTAGTAATTGATAAAAGTTGTTCGGTGCAGATTTGGCCAGAGATTTGTTTTCCTATCGGTCCATTGTGCTCGGTAATTGAAATTAAAATTTTTATAGCCAATTAACGAGAAATGTGACGAGAGGCTTTCAGCCATTCCCCATTATTTGTTCCGTTTTGCTGCTTCCCCAAGAATCCCAAAATCGCGTCAATGTGCCAATCAAAAATATCGAAATAACCAAATCCAAGCTTAAATTCCCATAAATCATATCGAGTGGCACCTTAAATGGGCTAAAAAATAGCCGAATGCGTTTTTAAAATTCGCAAGCTGTCACTGCCGGATCACAATAAACACGACACAAGTCACAAACATTTCAAATCGAATATATTGAATAATAATTTGCTGCTGTGGCCTTTTTGTTTTCCCCATCAACATCGCAGTAGCAGCTAATTTTAATTCAATTTTGTTATTCTGCAAAAACGCCAAGTGCCGAGTGTCAAATTCGAGCACGTATTGGTTCCGGAATTTAAAAACACTGAGACTTAATTCAAATTGACACTGATGGATGCGGCCAATAGACAATTCTGGGGCATTCTGGGCAAGCCCGTTCCCACCTCCCACGAATCTAGTCATAACTGCGCTCTGAGGCAACTTTATTTGCTTGCGGGTGACATTGAATAAATATTACTAAATACCATTGAGACACTCGACGACTTAGAATGGCTTCTCCTAGGGCAAGGCAGCAAGCCACCCCTTTCGGCCCTTCTAGGCGATCTTTGGCAGCATCGCAAAGATGCCGGGCTTGAGGTTGTTGACGTCCTGCACGACGAACTCTCCGCCAAAGTGATCGTTCATAATCAGAGTGCGCTTCTTGCTAGAGTCCAGGAGCATGGCCTGCCAGATGATCTCGAACTCAAGCTCGGGCAGGATGGCCGTGGTCGGGTCCTCGGGCCACCAGAACTTGTTGATGAAGTACGAGCCCTGTAATGGACGGTGAATATGAAAGCGGAGGTTTCGATGCCAATGGTATTGGCCCTAGAATGTGACCGAGATGGTGGATGCTTGTGGTGGTCAGCTGGAAGCCCTGAACTGGCGCCCTACTCACCTTGGCGATCGGGCAGCTATCTACGATGTTGCCATACTCGCGTATGAAGCCGTGCACGAAGCGACCCACCGGGGACTTGTTCGCGAAGCCCAGGATGCGGCACACGTTGAGCGTGGTGTTCATGGTGGTTGTGTAAAGCGGGTCCTGCTTATTGGTAATGCGCACCTCTAGGTGGATATCAACGTCGTGCAGATCCTGGTGAACCTCCATGGAGAAGTTCAGGTGGGGATCGGCGCTGTCGTAGGTCACCTTGTGACTGATAAACTTTTCTTCGCTCCATATTTTGATGTCTTTAAACTTGGGACGCATCATTTTCTGCAGGAGAGTCAGTCGAGGGATCAGCTTGGCAGTCTCTGGCCCACTCTAGGATGCTTACCTCAGCCAAGCCGACATGGCAGATGGCCAGGAGAACTTGAGCCAGCAGTACGGTGTGCAGCAGCATGATGAACCGGCGCTCAAGGGACGACTTCACTGTCTGCTTTCGGAAGTTTCAGCTCTATTTATATCGCTAAAGCCTGCGGACGGGTAATTTTGGGATAGATCTAATCGGAAATTGTATTGACTTTGCTTTGCCTGAGTGCTTTTCCAAAGTCCATCCACTTAGCTGACTCAATTCACCATAGCCACCTGCCAGTTGACCCTATTGGCCTGATTCTATCGCCCATCTGGGCCTAATGCCCTGGGCACTTTGTCGACCATTGGGGCCTGACTAATCATAGGAGTATTTATATAAAAACCGACTAATTGAAAAAGTGGTCATTGGCTTATTGGTGTAAGATGCGGGAAGTACTCACCCAAAGCTGCTGTGCCCTGGGCTTCATGCTAGTGGTGCTCATCCCCATGACCGGGGCTTGGGTGAGTTCAAACTAAAAGCGTGTGCTAGATTAACTAATTAATTTATTGGTTCCAATAGCGGTCGTTCAAGGTCATCATTACACATGTCGATTTCGAGGCCAACGAGAAGATTGTGAACCTCACAATGGATCTGCAAAATGACGCCGGCGACTCAAAGCTCAGCGTGGACATCACAGTTTATGAGGACATTGAGGATGTCCAATTGGCGGTCGACGTGGGCCTGGAAACGGACAAGGGTAACTTCTCCACCCTTATCAACCGCACCCTCAACTTCTGTAAACTTATGAAGCAGCGGAACTCTGATCCCCTGGTCCGCGGCATTTACGACGACCTTCTGAAGCACGGCAACCTGTTCAAGGAGTGTCCCATTAGGAGCGGGACGTTCAGTCTCAGCAAATATAAGGTAGACGAGGAAATGCTGCCCAGCTTTCTTCCGGAAGCAAAGTTCCGTTTCAGGCTACTAATTACGAGGCCCAAGAATGAGAGGATCGTCAGGGCCGTCATCTATGGCCGCATAGATAAGTCCAAGGGATTCGACAACCTCAAGCGGTTCAGCATGGGTTGAGATCCAATAAAGCCACAATGCGCGTCCAAGTCTGATGTGTTTTAGTATGCAAACTGCCTTTTGTCGCACGATTGACGTCGTCATTGTCGCCTCATCTTGTCCTCGGCATCCAGCTCGGCATCCCCCAGTCGCCCCAGTTCCTCCGCCACCGTCGTCGCCTCGTCACGTGTTTGCCTGCTCGACTGCGAAATTCGCATGTTTACCCGACGGTGACAAGCTGTCTGCAGGCAGCCAGCGGTAGCGCAATTGATGACGACGATGGAGGTGATGGGGATGGCTGCCTGATGAGCAACAGACGACAATGATTTAGGGGTAAGGTATGTGGTATGTGTTAGCTGGAGTTCCTCGCACTTCCAGTGCATGTGAAGACTGTCGGGGCTGATTGGACTGATATCTGTGTAGAGCGATAGAAGCATGTACATTTTCAGAACTTGGAACTTTATTTAGAACTTTACTCAGAACTAAGGAGGCGACAATAAATTCTTGAGAATATTTTACATTTTTCCCTATCTCAAGTCCTAGAATGTCTCTGAGCTTGCTCCCCTCATCATATCGCAACTGTAATTAAGGATGCGCTGCACATCACTCGAGCTGAGAGTCGATGACAGCAGCCACAGACTCGACGAGTCCCCTGAGTCACTCGATGAGAGGCGTTTTTACCCACACTGTATATCTAAGCGGAGCTCACGCTACCAGGGCCATAAATCTTGCGTAGAAAAGTGCAATAATTTAGAGCAGCGGCTCCTTTGAAGTGTGTAGTATCGTCCAAGGTTCCGAGGCGCGATCTTAATTGCTCCAACAGGGCACGTCAGAGCCTTACTTAGAGGCTGGAAATCGCTGTTAGATTCCCATGCGCACTTGAGCTTCTTTTTCTGTTCGGCCAGGTGAAGGCCTATTAAAGCGAATCACGTTTGGCGCGTCCCTTTCGCCTGCGCCCGAATTCGCACCTGCCTCCATCACTGCAAATAAAATTTATGAAAATGTTCAAATGAAATTTGTTAAATAAAAATGGTAATTTTTACTTTCCTGCTCCGTTTTGTTTCTCCTCCGCTGCAGTGCTGGTATTGTATACGCAATTCAATTATCGACATTTGAGTGACTTTTATTGAATTTATTTGGCCGCTTCACCTTCGGCGTCTGTTCAACGCCTGCCTTACCAATGAAATGGAATCGAGAGTTCGCGGTTTTTCTGCTAAAAGGTTATCAATTATTATTGTCACATTGTCGCAGATTGATGGGGTTCTCGGGTGGGAGCTTCTAAGGCGCGAGGACGGGTTTTTATTCATCCGCATCTTCGATTCCCATCAGGTGCCCTCGAACAACCCGATTCTATTGGCATTGGCGATTGAAATCCGTTTCCAAATTGCATTTAAATAGAGTTCTTCTGGAATTACCGGCGCATACATTATGCGAGCAAACGAAACGGGTCCGTCTAATCCAAAGACTCGATCGGAGCCAGAGAAAACTCGACGAGAGACTGAGAAATCGGATTACAAATGCTAATCGATCGAAAGGGGGAATAGGGGCAAGAATATTGATGAGCCGCACGTGAGTGCAAAATAGGATGGAAACATGATAAACGCCTGTCTGGGCTTGGTTTCAGTTTCTTCAGTTATGGGAAGTTATGGGAAAAACCGCTCCCAGTTATGATTGGGCGAGTTCGATGAACTCCGTAGAGTGTGATGGCGAAAGCTCTCTACTATATCGCTTACATCATTGCTCTTCAAAGGCTTCTACGCCAGTACAGCAATCTCACGGTACCTGCGACGACGATCGCTACATTTCAATTGAGATTCAGCAAAGACCTTAACCCCGAAAAAGAGTGGAGTCTCACTCAGTTCTTAGGGTTAGCCAGTTCTGGCCGACTTTGCTCAGGGGCGATCCAAAATAAAAATCAAAATCACAAATCTGCCACACACAATTGGAATGCAAATACTGCCCTCGCGGCGGCAAGCACAATCGGCAAAAAGAAAGGCAAAGGGGTATTAAACTATATTTGAAGTCTCTCCGGGTCTTCGCGCAGTTTTTTCGAAGACCTATTGCGCGAATTTGGATTGCTGCGGGTTCAATGGCTTGGCGAAAAGTTTCTCCATCGCGCGCAGGCTTTAGTGAATTCAAATTTAAAGTTTTCCGAAAGGCCGCTGGCAGAAATCTGTTCTTCTATGAAAATCCACTTACAAAAATTATGTTAATTGCAAAGAACAAAAAGAGACAGAGAGAGAGACCGGAAAATAAATCTTATTAAATCAGACTGGCCGAGTCTCCACAAAGGGTGGGGCTTAAGTAGCATAACTGGCAGACAATCGGCAAACAAACAGATTGCCAAAAATTGCAGTTTTCCTACTGTGAAACCCCGCTTGGCGCGACGTCATGTTGGACGGAGATGGGACGGAATTGAGTCAGTCAAAGGCCTGCGACTCCGCTCAATATTTGCAATCCGAAGCGTTTTCCAGCTGAGCAATAATTTTCACAGTCCCAGCATCTTCGTCTTGTATATCATTGGCTGGCTCGACTTCAGACACCATGAAGGGCTCGGTAAACAAAGGCTAAGCAAATTTCGTAATCAGTTTTTCCTAAAGTTCTTAATGCATTTAAAATAAAGTGATATCTCGGGCCTTATGAGATTAAGCCAGTCCTCAACGCAGCGCCCGCCTGAGGTAAGCCCTCCCCCAGGGACTCGAGTGGGTCGGACTTAAAATGCGCATAAAGGACTAGCTTGAATCGAAAGAATTTATTTGTTCCTGCACACAAATTTGATGCTTTTTAGTGCCGGCGGCAACGACCAACTTATTGCAATTGCTACAAATTTTTACATAAATTTACGCTACGACAACGTTCACTCCGGCTCCTCGCCCTGCCACCGCCAGGACTCCGCTTGCTAGTTCTAGTTCACCCTCCCCCTATTTCGCATTATGCAGAACCTTTATCATTTTCCCTATTTTTATGAGCTTTTTTGGCTTTCTGTTTGAGTAATTTTTTGCCAGGTGGAAATCCACTTTCAATTGTTTGGGGATCTGCCGTCGGCGTTCTGGAGGTTTACATATTGCTCATTTCATCGCCGTGGGAGTTACGGCGGGCGGAACGGGACAGGCCCCACTGCTTATTGCCGCTGCCTGCTGAAGTGTAAACATTTTCGCAGAAGGTGTAAATAAAATTTTGTAAAGCGATGCGACTGCCTCCGGCATCCCTGGCGTTTTTTTGTTGTATTCGCTGCGGAAGTCTGTAAGCTGCTGCAGCATCTTGATTGTTTGTTCCTTTAGCGATTGGGGTGATCTGAGTGTCAACAAATTTGTGCAAATAAGCAAAGAACTTTCTGAATTTAGAAGAAACTGGCTTCGGGAAGACTTATTCCCATTCGTTCAAATCCGTATCGGGCCCAAATTGGCATAAATTGGGCCTAACGGGCGGCTCGCCATCGTTTTCCGCGCAACGGTGCTTATTTTTACGAGGCTGCCATTAAGGCGGAAGTACTCATTAAACTGGCTCGGAAATCGCCAATGAACCACAACTGATGGCTTCTATTTTCCACCTATGCGTGTATGCTTAATTAATGCCAACAATTCCATAACTTTCAATATATGTGCATAGGTACGGATCAAGTGCACAGTGGGTTCTGTGGCAAAAAGAGCGGGCAAAGTACTTTTATAAAATAAACTCTAACAATAAAGAAAGAAAGCTAACTTCGGCGCACCGAAGTTTGTATAACCTTGCAGTTTTTAATTGGATTATCAAGAATCAATCAACTTTGGCCAAATGAATTACTAACAGGAGATATATAAACTATATATATATTAATACAAAGCATATGTATAATAATTTGGTTCTAGTCAAAAGTATTTTGTAATTATTTCTAAATCGAATAATATTACTACATTTTTGATTTGAAATGTATACTACTTGAACAAAACAAATTATAGAAATGCCTCCTATATCTCAAAGTATATAAAAATATGTTAAAAACCAGGGAAGTTATACTTTTTTTCTTAAACTTTTTCGATTATTTGTATGGCAGCTAAATGATATACTAGTGAGAGTAGTCAGAAGACTATCGGCAAAGTTTCATTCTGGTAGCTTATATATTGAGGGACTAGACTGACGGACTTGACTAGATCGATTCGGCTGTTGATGCTGATCAAGAATGTGTTGCAAACTTCTGACTAAAATTATAATACCCTGCCAGAGTATAAAAATGGCTAACCTAAGGAATTACTAATTAGTGATAAATTTTGTCTAATGTAAACATATCTAAAATTATTAGGAATTAAATATAATGGAAATCTTGCTTATACATTTTAATTTCCATATGCCACCAATTATTCCCTAGTACAAAATCTAGAAATGCTGGAAATACACAAAAATCGAGTCCATAAAAAATGTATGTAGTTATTGTAAGGTTATCCTTAGATGAGGAGTTTAACGATAAAAGTCCAGGTGGGAAATGAATTCTCTCCTCCTGCTGATAAGAAGAGTTCTTAATCAATCCGATGAGACCTTGAGTTAACTAACGCTCTTTCTTATAAAGTTTAAAACAAAATATTATTTGGTATTGCTTCAGCATTTGGCTTCGTATTTGAATGCACTGTTTTTACTTAGTTTTGTTTTTCGTTTATAAATAATACTTTTTGAAAACTCCCTGGGGAATCCTTATCCTGGCAACTCCACTGCACTCTGTACAACCGACTGTCGTCCGGCTGTGCCCATCCTCGGCCGCATTCGCATCCGCATCCAATCCTACAGCGGCTGGGGGAAACGACGAGTGCGGGGAAGCTCATGTGTGGTGTCTATTTAATTACAATTGTCGCTGTCGCCGCAATCCGTGTCCTGTGCAACGGCAACTGCAATTAACGCACTCGGCCTTTGGGAGCTGCCTGGTGGATGCTGTTAAATGCAGTATTCAGGATGTTTCTCGCTGGGAGCGCAGTATCGGGGCTGGCGTGTCCGGTCGTTCGGGAGCCGTATCTTCGATGGGGCGGGCCGTGGGGCTGGGCGATTATTTTACGCTCAATTATTGTTAAATATTTCACAAAATGCGCATATTTATTTTAACACGGCAAATTGGCCCGGTTGGAGCTGGTATCATGTCCGTGTTTCGGTTTGGCGGCCGAGTGTCCTAATGAGATTGCAATTATTTGGTCATAAATTCGCATTATTCGGGCCTTAAAGTTCATGCACTTCTGTTCGGCACATTTTTACCCTGCTGTTGGTGCTGTTGTTGTCTCCGATGTTGCTGTGCTGCATGGGAATTAACCCTTGTCAACTGACAGCATTTAATTTGAAATTATGTATTAATTAATTGGCCAGAAGCAGTGGACATTATAATTAAATATTTAATTTATGGCTTCTAATGGGGCCGTTAGTCAAGCGAAGCGCAGAAATAGTTGCACAATTAGCGTTTATTTAAATATGTGTGCTTTTCGGAAAATCCTTGCGATGGCTGGCCTGCTTCTCTAAGATAAAATCGAAGAGGATATTAGTGAAGAGTAAGTGATAAGTAGTATGTTGAAATATAGTTAAATTACAAATGATTACAGACTTTTATGAAACCCATGCAAATCCCGCTTATTAAGTCGCACACTCTGGCGGGCTTTTTAAAGACTCGCCGCATACTTTTAGGCTGGTCATGTTACTACGATGGTGGTGCTTCAGAGGCCATCCCACAGGGCACGCGGCGGCGTTCGAATGGGGCTGAGGCTGGTGCACAGTCACTGCAAATATTGAACAACATTGGCTGCGAATATTGAAATACTTTCGGCGACTGTTTCCGCACTTTGAGCCCTTGTACCTCACCCCACTTCAGGATAGTTTTTGCGATTCGTGTTTGTCTTCTGGTTTTTTTCAGCTCCGCCATTGTCTGCCGGTGCTTTCATCCAGGGAAACCCCTTTACCTTTCTGGCATGGACTCATGCCATTGTTTGTTTGCCTTGTGTGCAAGCTGCATTTTGGAGCTGCCTTCGGTCCAGGAGTTAGTGAATTTATTGCAATCACGCACGGGATTTGTCGCTTTGGCTTTTGCCCGCCTCGCTGGAAAAAAAGGAAAATCTGGACACAGGCAGGGAGTGAGGGAAGCACCACAAACCGCAAAATGTTGTAACTAAAAGGCCGAAAACGCATTGCGCATGAAATTTAAACTAATTGTTTGGCATTTGTAATGGCCGGCGCTGCGCTGAACGGTTTAATTATGGCTGCAGCATCAGCAAGTGCAGAAACAACGGCGAATTATTAGCGGGCCAAAAGGAAAAAGCATGCGTAAAAAGTGTAAATTAATTTGGGGTCTGGGTCTGTTTTTGCGGCAATTAATTCGAACACGCGGCGACGCCTTTATTTGTGGTTCCGGTTCCGATTTTGACTTTGCCATATGTGCGGTTACCCTCAGCGGAAGCCCCCTGCCCCTCGTCGGCCGACAGCTTTATTTGCAGAATGCAGTTGTGCAATGGCCGCTTTTTTATCGGCCTGGCCTTCCCTGTCCGCCTGTCTGCGCAGTGACGTCTATCCTGATATATTCTCCTGAACACGACCGGACAATGTCTGACTAAGGTGCCGCCATTAGTTTTTAGTCCGCTTTCTTGGCCAGACTTGGCCGGGGACTAAGGCAACAGTTGAACGACACTAATGCCTCCGAAGAGAGTGAGGACCGCCCACAGAAAGGTTTTTCCTATGCTTTTTTAGCTTCCACAGTCAATGTGTCATGTGTGCTGCTCCCTTAATAAGGGTCGGTCGGTGGAAGATTTCCCACACTCTTTATTGTCTGGACTATAGCGTTACCATTCCCTGATGCACCACCCATTACCAGTTCCTATCCAGAATTTTCTCATTTGGGCTTCGGCTTGGCTCTCCCGTACAGTTGTTCCGGCGTTGGAATATCGCTGACAAAGTAGTTGGCCGGTATAAAGTGGAATATCTTCTTCAGCACGTCCAGCAGAATGTCCTCGATGGTCTGGGTGATGACGGTGTACAGGGCATCGGCCAGCATCCGCCAGTTGTCGTTGAAGAACTTGTTCGTACTGTCCTCTGTGCACAGAAATCGGAGTCACAGGTAGATAATGGAACCTTTCAGAACTTCAAGTTGCTCCTAACTTACCCAGTTGCTTGTTGCCATTGAACAAATTGGAGAAGTACGACTTGAGGCCATCCATTTTGAAGTCCACGTGTAGGCTGGTCACATTGTAGAACGTGAATCCGCCCTTGGAGTAGAGCCGCGTCTTCGTGTGCATCGTCACTGTCATGTTTTCTGCGTCCAGAAACACCTGCCCCTTTCCGTTCAGTGGAATGAGCAGGATGCGACCAAACAGACTGTACTCGCCCTGCAGCTTCATAACGGGCAGTGTGAATGTAGTCTTCCAGCTGTAGTCCTTCTTAAAGACCCTGAAAGAGCAGAAAGATTCAGGGCTAACTAGGCACAGGGTCGCACGAGGACTAGACTCACTGACTCTCCAGCACGTGCGTATGCCCAAATCCGATGATCTTAACGTTGGCCAGCTCCACCTTGAGGTTGATCGCGTTGCTGTTGCCTTGCGTGATCCGGATGCGGTTGAGATAAAAGGGGTCGAAGCTCTTGATGCTGGTGAGCCCGGGAATGCCTGAGAATCATTTCCGGAATATTAGCGAAGACCCACTCATCGGAAGGCCCTACCCACCGTCGTTGAGCTTGTCGAACAGCTGCTGGATGCTGTGGGTCGAGCAGTTGACAAAGTCCTTGTCGGCTATCCTACACTCCTTGATGTAATCTGCTGCGGTTCGATTAGAAGTTTAGTTCAGCTCAGTTCATATCAGTTTGGATTTGGGTTCGATTGGATCGATTCGAGTGCGAGTAAGGCAAACAAAAATACACACAGAGAGGGTAAAGAAAAAAGTCCGGTTTAGTGGTGCAATATTTTTTGAGGAATTCAATAACAAATTCCAAATAGTTAGTTACAATTGTGTGTTAGCCAAGGCCCGAGAATCTTATGATTTGGCAATTTTACTTATGGCTCCGCAACCATTTAAAGATTTTGTTGTTCATGGACGACCAAAGAAGGTCCTCAGCACTTACGCGGCTCTGTCAAGAACCCATCGTCGCCTCGAACCACACATATGGCCAAGGCCACCAGCAGCGAAATCTGTTCCAAGAGCAATCCCATCTCGTTGCGAGTCAAACTTATCCGTTTTTGCGGTAAATATTTGGGGAATTGACCACAATGCCGACCAACGTCGCCGAGTAACAAATAAAAACTGAAGTAAGCCCCACTTGCCATTTCCATATTTTCAGCGCGGCTTTCGTTCGGCGGGAAAACTTGATTTGAGTGGCTTGCGATAATTTCGCAATCCGCCGCCGTCGTCATCGCCATCGCACACAGTCGGCCAGTTGGCAAGTTGGCCAATTGTCGGTCAGTCAAGAGAACAGTAGCTGAGCACTCGCAGTCTCAGTCGAATTGCTGCTGCAGCAGTCGAAGCTGCCGGTTTAGTTTCATCATCGATCGGATCGGGTGGCTGCGGAGGAAAACAGGGGGAAAGTCTTCAATGAAAACTAATCGCGCCAGTGTAGAGTTGAACCGATGTTGACACTTGACTGCTGCAATGTCTGCCGATTGCAACACGGAGCATCGACTGGGGAGGTGACTTTGACTTGGACATATACCAAGTAGTAACCTTTGGAAAGGGTAATGGGGAGAAGGCCAACTAGACTGTAGGAATTACTGTCCTTCAACTGGAAGCCTTGTGTCTACGAGGTCAAGCCAAGATCAGGATATGTGCCACAGCTGTACGGTTTATCCATGAAAATATACATAAAACTTAAAAAAAATATCCAATTTTTGAACGGAGTCGAGTAAGTTAAGTAAAAAATGTCAACATCCTGATCGAGCTTTTCGGGCTTTCTTCTGATTCCGCTACATTTCTTAAATTTTTTGCTAGATTTTAGAAAAATCGCCCTAAACTACGAAAATTACGGAAACGTTTATATTAATTTAAGGCAGGCACCAAAAAATGAAGAAAAGCCACATTAAATAAAAATGGTTACGGTTAACTTTTCTATTTTCTTTAAATTTAGGGCACGGCGCGAAATTCGTTATTTTAAATTCGGTTTAAATTTTGGGGAGACAAATTTCGCACGCGTCCGAATAAATTTCCCAAATGGTTCAAACATCTTTGACATGGTGTGTCAGTGGCCGGCCAAATCTTAGTAAGATCAAGTCTCTTTTGGCAACACCAAAAGTATTAGCATTTTGGCCGCCTTTGTTAATAAACAATAACAATATGGTTTTCATTGTAATACAACGACAAAAAATAATATTATTATTAATATTTATTAACAATTATTTATTACAAAAAAAACAAGAAAAACAAGAATTCGGCTCGCCGAAGTTTGTATACCCTTGCAGTTTGCAATTTGATCATTAAGAATCGAGCCATTCTGCTTAAATGAATAGGAAACAAGAAAGGAAGCTAACTTCGGCACGCCGAAGTTTGTATACCCTTGCAGATATTATTTCATTACATTTTACCTATACTTATTATGTTTAGAGTTTGACAGTTACAGTTGTCCGATTTTCATAAAATTTATACCAAAATTCGGAACTAATAAAATAAGCTTATATCTCAGAGTAGATAAAAATAGGTTGAAAAACAACGAAGTTATAATTTTTTTTTCTATTAATTTCCCTATCGTTCCTATGGCAGCTATAAGATATAGTCGTCCGATTTTCATGAAATTTTTACCGAAATTCTGAAATAATATAAAATGGCCATATCTGAAAAATAGTGCAAAAATGTTGATAAACAGCAAAGTTAAAATTTTTTTTCTAAAAATTTAGCGATCATTTGTATGGGAGCTATATGATATAGTCGTCCAATCCGGCCCGTTCCGACATATATAGCAGTGAGAGTATATAGAAGACTATATGCAAAGTTTCATTCAGAGAGCTTTAAAACTGAGGGACTAGTTTGCGTAGAAACGGACAGACGGACGGACAGACGGACGGACAGACGGAAAGACGGACATGGCTAGATCGACTCGGCTGTTGATGCTGATCAAGAATATATATACTTTATAGGGTCGGAAACGTCTCCTTCACTGCGTTGCAAACTTCTGACTGAAATTATAATACCCTGCAAGGGTATAAAAATAAAAGGAAATATATAATATTTGTATATTTATAAATAGCATATACCAATTTGGTTTTGATATTTATATTATAAATAAATTCATTACATTTTACCTATACTTATTATGTTTAGTTACAGTTACAGTTACAGTTTTACATTCCAGCTTTACATTTTCTTTACATCTATCGATTGTTTCTATGGCAGGTATAAGATATAGTCGTCTGATTTTCATAAAATTCAAAACGAAATTCTGAAATATTATTAAATGGCTACATCTCAAAAATTATGTAAAAATGTTGAAAAACAGCCAAATTATAATTTTTTTTTCTAAAAATTCATTGAACATTTGCCATAACGGCGGCGATAAGAAACCAAAATCGGTAGACGTTCAAAGCAGTAAAATCAGTTCGAGCTATAACAACTTGCCACGGCTTCACATTAAGACGAATTCTACGACAGGGAGGCGGAGAAGCAGAATGCGCACAACACGATCCGCTGCAAGCAGGAGACTTCAGCAAGAAAGCGAACGGGAATGGCACCTGAGTGGTATGCAAATGTCGACTGACCTCCAGAGATTCGTGGCCGTTCTGTTGTGGGCGGTAGCGGTTAGGTGAGTAGAATCCAGTTGTAGTCGCGACCTGGGGCAAATAAAGTTAAAGGATGAAAATGGTAATAAATGGTAATATATATCTTTCGTCGGGCTTCATTTGATTGCCCCCAATAGAGCACAGTTAACTATATCCTGCCCCGATAGTCTGGCTCACGGCCCCAGCGAACAAAATATAAGACTTCATCGGATCGTACAAGGCAACAAGCTGGGCGAGGGGTTTTGGCTCCGGGAAATACACGGCATACGGCTGCCTTTGTTGAAAAAAGGCTGTCACAGTTGGAACAGCATTGTTTCGACTAATGTGGAACATGAAAACGGATCGGATATCGTTGGAAATGTTTGGGATGGCCATTGAAGAACGTAGTGTTCCCCAATCGTTGCCCATTTTCTGATCCAAGAAAAAAAACCTCCAGTGTCCTCTGGGTACCAGATCTGGCCGGTTCACTGTTCACTTGGCTCCATTTGTAAATCTGAGTTCTGGCTTGTACGAAAAAAACATCATAGTCGATAATGTGGAGAAATGTTCAATGCGGACTGCTCGGAGTTTTTTAGACCCATTATCACCTTTGTATAGAACACGATACCATAGAATTTTCTTAGGGATATGGATCTATAGACACCGTAGTAAATATTGCCCCTTTTAGAAAATAAAAAAAATACATATAACAAAAAAATTAATTAATCAGTTAATCCGTTGGGGGAAGTAAGATAAACCATCAAACAGCATTCCGCTATGCCAGAAAAAAGTTCACTCTCGTTAGTGTGATTTATTTTAGTTTTTTTTTTGCTTTCCGGTTGCAGCTAATTTATGCAAAGTTGACGGGACAGCGCTCACAAAAACTATTATGAAATTTCATAGAAAGTTTAAGTCTAAAAGTCGCGGAAAAACCCCTAACGAAAGAGAACAGACGAAAGTTTTGCCGGCCACGACTAGTCAAAGTTGCAATTCAGTTGATGAACTCGGACGCCGGACGCCGACCGGAACATGGTCACACATGCCCTGGATGAGAGCAGTCAATCTCCTGACCTCTCCTCCCCTGTACCTCACTTGGCGGAAACCTGTCAATTTAAGCCGCTTAGGGAAGCAGAAACAGTTTTTTTTTGGAAACCTGCATTCGGCAACAGTGCGTATGCAAAATATTTATGCATATTATTTTCCATTTCTGTTTACTGCTCTCGTAATCAAAAATTTACATATTTGGGGTACCGAAATTAATTATAATGCCACCGCAATCTCAGGCACATAAAAGAGCAAGCGGAAAAGAATGGAAAGGGATGGGACGAGCACATATTTTCAGGGCTGCAGGACAACAGTCCAAACAGTTTCCAATATAATTGTTCCAAGCTGGAATTGCTTTTTCCAGTACTAAATGGGTGTTGCTATGATATGTAACTAATAGAACTTTTTATTTTGGGTGGTTTTTAGTTGAACTTAAGGTAATTATTTTAAAATTCTCAAGTCTAGATTCCGGGGTAAAAAGCTCCGGTGTGAGAAGGTCGATTGTTGCAAAATGTTGAAACACATATGGACAAATCATGCTAATGTCAATTGTAAATGATCTTGAGTAGTATATCTATGAGTATCGAACTATGTACGTATTGTAGTAGGCTATACCGATATCGATACCTTCACAACTAAAAAAATTATACTTGCTTTAGAATTTTAGTACAACTATGGTAGTATTTAATAGTAGGCAATAATTCAAATGACTAGGTCAACCTTTATTTACAAACCTTTCAACTTTAGTTCACACTATAACAAGGACTATCAAAATTATCTTTTAATGAATATATGACTGCTCGCATCCCTGGCACTCGTGCTCTGAAGGGCTGCGCTGCGGAATGGGAAGAAAGTCATGAATACAAAATGTGCCGCAGCTTTTGGTTTTTCGGCTCAGTTGGCAGTTCTTTGCCCATTTCATTTTCACTCACCCCCCTCGGTGCTCTCACACATGGCAAAACTCATTTCATGGGTCACGAGCTACAATCATCTCTGCGTTGCGGCTCCGCAGAGCCAAGAGAAACTGGCCAAAAATTGATTGCGGCGGCCACACTGCAGTGCCAGGATGAGGACCTTGCTTAGGCCAAAGGGAAGCACAACAGGGCCACTATCATCAAAATCCTATTAGTTGGATCTCTGTTCACGGCCGGCGCTCCCGGCTTTGCCCTTGTCCAGTTTCCTGAATTTTGTCAGCGTTTATTTGGCAAATTAATTCCCCAAAAGGTAAGCCAAACTTGCGATTTGAAACAATCAGTGAGCTCGAACCCACTCTGCAGAGCTGCAAAGTCCTTTTGTCCTTTTTGGACCAGCTGCAGCTGTTGTTTGCCTCAACAGCAAAAGGGACAGAAGGGCCGGAACCCCAAAGACAGCAGTCTGCCCAAAGAGGGGGCGCGTGCACTCGATTATACGACCCCTTCGAAAGCAAC